TTTTTTTTTTTTTTTTTTTTTTTTTTTTTTTTTTACAAAATGAAACAATTGTATTGCCCAAACACATTAAAACTCTCCTGAAAGCAGAGATCTGCCACTTTTTCCAGTAATGCTCAAAAGAAAAAAAAACCCTTGTAACCTCAGGGTTTTGCCTCCTTAAATATTGTAGTTTTTAATGGGGAAACAAACAGATTTTAATTTCCAGACTTTGCTTAAAGCATGCTGCTGAGCTAAAAAACCTTGTACGCTAAATTTTCAAAAGGAGCAACATTTATGTTCTTTTTTTTTTAAACTTGGAAAATTTTTGCGTAGTTATAATAGGGAATGTTAAAGATCAGAACGGATGTTAGCAGTGTTTTGTTGCAAAAGCTATCATACTATTCTCACTTTTAGCAAAAAAATAATCAAACTTTGCTGCATTAAACCCTACCTCAACAAGTCAGAGGTGCTGTTAAAAATGTTAGAGTTAAAACATTGGTCACAAATTTGTCAGTTTTTCAGATTGCTAAATACTAATGCTGAAGATCACCGAGTGATTTTTTTTCTCATTAAATCAGCCAAATTCCAAGAGTTGGAAAAAGGTGTATTCAGTATTTATGAATATGTAATATGTTAGGTCTTTGCTGGATTAAATTTGAGAGAGCCTGTATCATAAACACCTTGCAGTTTCTGAAATCCCATTAACATTTAACCAGTTTTCATCAAACATAATTTGCTACATCAAAAGACTTCACATCAGTTACTTGTTTTACTCATTACTTATAACCAAAATATTGTAGAACTGTTTGATCTTCTCTTTACAGAAGACTTTACTACTTGCTGATGCTCGCTATGCCCTCTTCAGGCAAGCAAAGGGATACATTTAGTTGCTTCATATCCAATATATTTGTATGTATATAGATAAAACCTAATTTTTTGCAAAGATCTCAGGACATGCAAAACCAAAATAAAAACTTGGATTAATAAAATCTGATTTTGGTTTTGACCTTTTTAGATAAGGCACCAGCTATGAATTTCATATCATACAGATGCAGGTTTTGGGGGCTAACTTCTAAGAGTGTGAGCATCTTCCTACCTTATCTTTCTGTACAGCTTTAGAACGGTCCCTTTGGTCTTCAAGTGCCTCGAAGAAAAAAGTGTCTCAAGTACACTCTGCCCAGTTCAAAACCTACCTCTTAATTGTTTCATTTTTGGTGGGGAGGCATCCCCTGCATCCCTTTCTGTTGAGTGGCTCAGGGCTCTCTCTCTAGCTTTCTTCTACCCCTTCACCCAATCCTTATTGTATCCTTAAGTATCACTTACGTGAGTGGCATCTTGCACTACATCTGTCATCCCTTTGATCTCCCTTTCTTTTTGTCTCTGACTTTTGATTCAGATGGTAATGATGACACTGTAATTTTTGCTAGTACTGAATGTTTTAAACACTAAAGATATGGTTTAAAGTTATTTTCCCGTGGTTGTGACTCATGTTGCTCTTCCTTGCTTTTGCCTTCAGGATCAGAAATATGGGAGTCTTCTGTGATCCCAACACTTCTTCAGTTACCATCTCCATAAATATCACTTCTGTAGAAACTTTTATTCATGTGTTAATTCTTTCCAATCTTGGCTGTTTTTATTTCTTGATCTGCCTAGATCTCTCTTCTCTCTAGCCTCCAATGGGCCTAAAATAATGTTAACAAGAAACGTTTTTCTTCCACTGCCTCCATATTTGACAGGTTCCTAATGGTTTTATTAATTGCTGCTGTTTCAGAATTTGATCTCAAAATTATTTATTTCCTTGCCTCTGCTTCTACAAAAGTAAAATGAAAGTTTCCTCTTTTGCCTTGCTCCACCCTTCTAGAACTCTTTCACTTAACACAGCCACAGACATCTTTGAGTCGTCATATATTTGAATTGTCTCCTTTTTCCCCTAGACTGATCCTTGGAGGAAGCTTTCTAAACCTGTATAGTAGAAGTCACCTAAAAATTAGTGGCATAGCATACTGTGCATACAATCAGGTTCAGCTTCCTGTATAATTACAAAATCTAATTTTTTGCCGCTACAGTTGAAGTCTTTGCAATGCAAGCCTATCCTCTTTCCTTCATCCCTGTTCTCTGAAAAAGAAAAAAGGGCTACACTTTAGTTGCTTAGTTTTTCAAAATTGGGAATGAAGAGTATTCTTCATAGGTTCTTTATGCCACATTCATCACTGAGTTTCAGTGCACATTCCAATCGTGAACTCAGCAATATGAAAAACGTTGCATATTTTTTTTCTTCATCTTCTTAAAGGTGTAAGTGCATGAAGTGTCTGTCTTTTTTTGTTTTTCTTGTTGGGGGGGGAGGCTGGTATACCAAATGTACAGATGGGGGGGGGGTGTAAGGTGTAGAAGGTGGTCAGGTTTTCAATGGTCCTTAATTCCTGCGAGACTAAACATTGGGTTACTCATCAGAGTAAATTTAATGAATGAGGATATTCTGGCCTTAAGAAGCTGTTTAAAAACTGTTAATATGGTCTGAAAACTGTTTCTTCCTTAGACTTCCAGTACTTACTTGCCTTAAAATAATTAACTTGCTTTTTTTTCCAGGCAAATCCAAACATTGTAGAGAGATTAAGTTTTTGAACAGTTAACTATGGTTGAACTGCATAGTCAGAAGAGAGTCCCTTTTAGCCACAATACCTATAAATCAACTAATCCTGTCATCTGAGTCCTTGGTGAGCTGTTACTTGCCTGAAAATGAATGACATAGTATATCATGCCTGAAGGAGAGGCTTGAAAGAAATTAAGGTAGATATTGCATAAAAATGATGAGAGGCTTCTGCTCCAAAGAAAAGATAAGCTAAAAATAAAGGATGGCATGCTTTTTCTGCATTTCCCAATCAATATAATAGTGTTTTGCTGCTGTGTGGTCACTCAGCTATAGATAATTTCTTTCTGTCTTACAGTTCACAGACACTTAACACAGACATTTTTGGTAGCAGCCAGATATTTCTGGGGTTGCTAATTTTTAATATGATGCTCTAAATAAAAAAGTAGTGGAACTTATTCCTTTTTATAGTTTTTCCCTTGGAATTTCTGGTCATTCTGGTGCTCCTTCAGGAAGCTTTGTGGGCAGCAGGGGGCACCTTCTGCTTTTGGAAAAGTAATAACCCCAAAGCTCTCTTTAGAATGATGCATTTTTTCTGCCAGTTAGTTGAGCCTTTGCTGAGATTAGGTATTTAAGATGAAGTTTAGTTACTTCTTCTATTATTCTCCTTTGATTTTTAGAAAGTGACCTGCCTGTTGTTTTTTCCTTGCAAAAAAACCCTTGATGCTTTCTCTCATTCATTCTAACCACTTAGTTGTGCTGCCCTTTTACTGACTTAAAAGTGCCAAGGAATGGAGGTTAGGAGGTTTTTCTAGTACAGATATCTGTCTGAAATCAACCTCACCTTGCTCTGGGTGTTGGGTATTTAAACTGGCAACATTTTCATAAGACCAGTGCCCCTGTACACACAGTGAATAGACTATATTTGGCAGTAAATAGGTGTTGTCTTTGAGACTTGCTGTGTCAAGAATTTCTATACACAAACTCTTTACCTGGGGAGAGCTGGGTTAGAAAGCCATTAATTTAGGACACTGTAGTTGGTGTGTTTTGGGGATTTTTTTGTAATATGTTCTTTCTCCATCCTGCTTGTGTCTCACCCTCTACTTTTGCGTTAAATCAGCATGTATGTTATGTGTTCACTTGTCTACTGAAATCAGCAGCATGAGAATTTTAATCTAGGTTGCCGTCCATCCCGCCCATGGGATGTCACAGGGCTGGACTGGGCCTACAGACTGGCCCTGTGTGCCAGATCCAGCACATGGAGCTACATTGATGCCACATGCAGTGAGCACCCTAGATTGGCACCTGTGTGCCATGTGCAGCACATACACCAGCTCCTGTGCTCCGTGCAGCTTGTGCTAGATGGACTCCATGCACTGCAAGTGGCATGCCAGTCTGCAACCCACAAGCAGTACTGCAAGCTGGTTGATATAGCTCTGGCCTGCAAGCCAGATCTTTGACACCCCGATGGACTGTAATACAGAGATTTTAAATGCTGTTTGGATTATTCTGAAATATTAGAAATGCTATAAAATTGTAGTCAAAAGGTCTTTGCTTTTGTTCAGTGT